AGGGATGTCAGAGGGGGTGCTGAAAAGTGGCAGCAATGCGGGCACAGCTTCTAGCTCCCTAGTCCAGCACAGCTCTTCACTGTTCAGTCCCAACACGAGCACAGGGAAAGACGAATGCAGACTGGCTTCAGACCATGGTGCATATGTTGTCAATCCTTAAATAAATATATTCAATTGTGCAGAACCTAATGCTGAACTTTGAGGTAACCTGATGCTAATGTTTTATAATGACAAAAAATGACCATTTAATTCCTCCTCTCTGCCTCTTAATTACTGTAGTTTTTCCTCTTATTCTAAAATGCTCTGTTTCTTTAAAACTGTTTTTGTGTTCAGGAACTTTTCAGAGGCTCAAGAGGACTTCTCAAAAGTCTCAGTTATGTAGAGTGGTTCATCCACTACTTGATGACATCCTCAAAAATTCTGGGAGATTAGTGAGATATGACTTTTTTCCCCCCAGAATTCACTCATATGAGACCCTGTCAGGTCACGACCTTCTAAATATTTTGCGATTCCTATTTTTTATTTATGATTTCAAACCATTTGTTAGGTACAGATGTATGGCCTACAGGTCTATAATTCTTCAGATCACCCCTCAAGCCTTTCTTGAATATAGGTACTGCATTTGCTGCTCTAATCCCTGGAACCAATGGCTATTTAAAAAAAAGAGATTGCATATTTTATGGTAACCTCTCAGCCCCTTCAGGTACATCAGACATTTCAAAACTCTTGGATGTTCCGTGTTGGCCTGGTGATTTACTGCTTTTAAAAATTATCAGTTTGCTCCAGAAATTCTTCTTTCACCTTAACTTGGATCATCTCATCACTTGTTACCAGAAAAGTCCTGAATACTGCACGTCACCCAGGTGTCCTTAACTAGTTAATGAAAGCTGGTGCAAAGAAGTCATTTAACTTCTTTCAGCTTTTTCAGTAGTGTCTTCATCTTCCAGGATTGTACTCTGTAACTCCTGGTGATCTGCCAGACCCATCAATTCTTTCAGCTAAAAAGCTTTAAAAAAAAGGGGGGAGGAAATAGGCTCTGTGTAGCTCTTGCTTTCAGAAATCCCTTGCAATATAAAGCATTCAGTTTCAGTCCAAAATCTCTATTTCCTCAAAAACAACATATTTGTAGGGGGGAGGGAAGAACTTGCCCCTGGCTGAAACCCAATGCATGCTGAATTTGGTGGTCATTTTACTTTAAACCTATTGGTTAGTGACTTAATTCTAACGCTCTGTGGGATTACTGATATTTTAAGCAATCACTTGTGCAGTTTCTTTGCAATAAGTGAGGTCTGCCTGTTTCAGTGTTATATGTCATGGGTCTCCTTTTTCTCCCACATTTTGTGCTTGTGTGTCCCATAGAAAATCAACAGGTCTGGGGCTTGTGCCTACCCCATTACTGAGTTATTCTGTTCATTGAAGAGTTGCCCTCATTGGGTTCCATTTATAACAAAAAAAACCAAAACCCACCCCCCAAACCTCCTTGCGTTAGTTACTCTTTCCATCTGTTACCAGCTATTCACTCAGCATTTCTACATAGGTACCTCCTGATATCTTTTTTGCTTTAGTTCATAACCCCTGGTTCCTGTACTTTACACAAGCTTAAATAACTCAGTAGCTCCTGCCCTCTCTATTCCCTTCACAATCTTTTCCCTGCCACTGCGCACTCCCCCTTTAATATTTTTCCAAAGGATGCAGACCTACTTTTTCCCAGCCTTTCTATTTAAGTTCCCCAAGTCCCTGAGTCATTCCAGTTGCTCCCTGCTGTAACATTATCCATCTCTGTAATGTCTTTTTTCATATTTAGGTGATCAAATCTGGGCACAGTACTCCAGATGTGCCCTTATCTTTCAGTCCCTTACACAATATTAGAAACGTTCTCTCCAATGTGCGCTCAGTATTTTCCATTTATGTTTCCTGGGCTTGATGCGCTATTGCATCAAACCGGTATATAACCCTATCCATTTAAATTCCAGGTTTGAATTGGAGCCCTTGGAATGTTGTTTAAGTGGGCTTATTTATCCACTGGACTCACTGGGGAGCTGTCTATATCTTTGCATCTTGAGGCATCCTCAATTCAGTGCTGCACCATTAGAACACTGTCCTATCTAACCCCCAGTCGAAACACATGATTTCATGCAGGGCTGTCCAACTGGTGGCCAAGTGGAGCAGTTAACATGCGGCCCATGCAGTTGCCTCTCCTACTGCCAGTGGCACTGCCCATGTGATGTGGGGGGCACCCCAAGGGGGGATGCCTCAGCGGCATATGTCCATGCCAAAGTTGGACAGCCCTGATCTGATGGTTAGCACAGGGTATCGGGAAAGGTGATACCCCATTTCTTTTCCCTAGGACCTCAAAATCCCAGGACCTTCTGGCCAATCTTCTCTTAGCTTTTGCCAAACTGTCCTTTTATCAGGCCAGGGAGGAGGTGCTGGCCAGAGGGGACCTTGGGCAACTGCAGGGCTGTCTTCCCTGCCCTTGTCTGCTTACATTTCCAAGCAGAGTTTCACTGGGTCGCATCCAGTTGCTCTTTAGATGACTTCAGGGAGTAGTGGGGTCTGGCTGGAGCTCTTTGTGTGGTGTCCTCACTGGGCATCCTGGCTATTAACCTGTAACCTTCACTCTTGTTTCTGTTTGTCATTTGTTGTCCAGAAGAATTAGCTGTTGTAGTCTCCCTCTAGCCATTGAGAGGGCTTCTAATTCCTGGTGGGTCTAGCTAGCTCCGCTGTCACAGCTCAACAAATGGGCCTGCCTCTGCAATTTATCTACTGAGTGGCCTTGGGCAAACTGCTTCCTTTCTCTGTCCCTCAACTTCCCTGTCTATAAAATGAGCATAATGATTCTTCCTCGGATGAAAGTTGCTACCTAAGTAGAGCTGATATTTTTGCTTGAACTGAATTGAAGAACTTTCCTTTTTCGTGTCCCTGTGTGACAAGGTATTTAGCAGAATTTGCAGATTCATTGGAATAATGTCATTTCAATTCCAATTTCAATTCTGTGACATGAACGCCTTGAACTTGTGGTCTCTGGGCAGTTAAACTTGCGTCTTAGTACCCATGCCACCCAAGCCCCCAATTGAAGAATTGATGGGGAAATACTATGTTTTGAGTCAACCAAAAATTTTTGCTTAACCTGAAATTAAGTGATATGTTTCATTGCCAGTGGAAGTTGGGGGATGGAGAACGCTCTATTTTTTAGCTTTAAATTTAGGCAACCTCATTTTGAAATGAAAAATTGAAATGTTTACTGGGAAGGAGGATTGCCAAAATATTCTTCAGGTTTTTTTCAGCCAAAGTAATGACCAAATTTGGCAAGAATTCACAGCTATTTTTTATTGGACCCTCAAATGCACTTTTCAGCAAATAAACCATTCTTCAGAATAAATGTCACCTTTTGTTTCGAATAGAGTTTTCTTTGTTCCCATCCTAGACCAGTGGTTCTCAAACTTTTTCAGCTCAAGGCACCTCTCATTGGACTTGAGGCACCCTTCCATAACTTTTGTGAATTGAGTGGCACCCAGTTTCAAAAACTAATTTATAGATTACTGTGCTTACTACCTTGCCATGAGGCCTGGCACAGGGGATGAAGGATCATACAGGCAGGGACAAGCCTGAGCCTGTGCTTATCTGCTTAGTTTTTCTGCTTATCTCCTTACACCTCCTGACACTCCTCAAAAGGTCTTGTAGCACCCCAGGATGCCCTAGCACCCTGGTTGAGAATCACTGACCTAGACCTCCTGTCCTCCAGACCACAGCTGAGGCTTCTAGTTAAGGCTGCTCATGCCTGTGAGGTGGAATATGATGTGTCTTTATAGTATTGTGGCTTAGTATGCAAACTTCTCCTTCTGTTGCTCAGGTCCAGCAAGAATAAAAGTCCAGTGCGTAACTACAGCATTGGTTGGGACTCCTTAACCTGAGCAGAAGGCCATGGTTTGATTCCCCAGTAACTGCTGGCATGTCATCATGGTATGAGGGTGTTCCAGAAACTAATGGTAGTTTTGTAATAAAGCCATTTTGTGTGCAATGATCATTTACTGGACCAAATCACTTTACGTGATTTACTGGATCACATCACGTAGTCGTAAACAATGGGTGCATTTGACAGTACCTCTATCAGTGTTCCCCACTGCTGAGTAGCTTCCCACTTTTTTAACAAACATACAGTGTGAGCAGACATTTTATCATTAATTTCTGGAGCACACTCATATATCACACCTGACTGTGGGTTTGGGTACCCTGGAAAGACTTTTTTCCATCAAATTCACTAGGACTGGAGGAAGCTGATATGGGATTGTGGGCTGGTTGTTGCTGCTTGACTACAAGATGAGATAGAATCCCTTGCTTTATTAATGAATAAATCCATTCATTACCTTCCCCAGCACCATCCTTCCAGGGGCACTGTTCATGGTGGTTAGTGGCCATCCAAGGCCCTTTGTTTACCAAGGCAGATATGACGTCCACGCAAGGGCTTTTTCTGATATATCTGGCCTGACTGATTACACTTCCCCTACCCCCAGTCTGAACAGCTTTTTCATTAAAAATAGACTTTTTCATAGAAACATTTCCTTTTGGTAGAAAATGTTATGTTTCGATTTGGTAAAAAATGTGGGAGCTGTGATCAAATAGAAAACACTGTTGGTTAAAATGTTTCAATGTCCGGTTCAGTTTTTAATAAATATTCTCTACTTGGCATTTTCCAAAGCTACAAGACTTTGGTATATAAGTGACTCTATACCAAAAGCATTTCCTGAAAAAAAGCATTTCTTTTGTTGCTTATTTTAATTTCAGTTTTTAGAAAAAACAGAACATTTTCACAGGGATTTTTTTTTAAAACATGAAAAATGTTCCAGATTTACTACGAAAAAAGCTGAAATTTTCCAGTCAGCTCCTACTGTGTCTTTCTGGGGAGTGAGTTGCCAGTATAGAGGCCAGTCCCTTGAGAAACTGGAGAATCCTCTGGTCATTGTCACTGCTCTCATCTCTCTCACTTTGTCTCTTTCTAGGAGGCTCCATGAAAGATTATGCAAATTATTACCAAAGCATGTGGGACTGTATCAGCGACTACCCGGATGAGCTGTCCTTCCAGCGTGGTGATATCATCTACATTGTGAGCAAGGTATGAGGCTGAGTACCAGCTTCCTGAACCAGGAACATTTGTGGCCTCAGAACTTAAGATCTTCTACATCTGGCTTACCATCTACATAAGTGCCTGTCTTCCATTGCTGTAGCATCTCAGTGTCCCTTGGCAGGGACAGAAATAGGCTGCGATATGAGATAAGTGCAGTCCAGGTTTCTTTCTTGGACTATAGGCTTTGCAGACTGTAGACTATGGACATGGTAGGATCTGGCTTAACACCTGGAAGGAAGCCCAGGTTCCTGCTGTCTGGTAATAGGAGGAGAACAGGAGCAGAGCTGATATGTCTCACCTTCCCTAGTGCCTCTGTGTCTTGTTCACAGCTGATGGGCTGAAGCTGAGACACAGAGCATGGAGGTTAACAGAGCAAGTCAATAGCACATCCAGGAACAGAACCCAGGAGTTCTTGGCCCTGTGCTCTAACTGCTGGAATAACATTCCCTCCTGTAGTGGGGTTAGAGCCTGATTCTGACCTCCTCCTCTTTTGCCATACATATTAAGCATTGCTCCCTCCCATGCCCCCTGCATTTGCACCTGGTATTTAAAAAGCCCAAAAGCAAGATTTTTCTCTATAATAGAGTCTGTGCGTGTTGTTGCTCTGGTATTATAGGGGTAATTGAGTTGCTCAGTCAGGTGTGACGGGTCCTCTGTTTGTCAGGAGCTCATGCAGGTGAATAAATTAACTGTTTGCACTGTGCCTCTGGGGGGAGGGGAGTGGAGGCAAGAGCCTTCTCCAGGTTCCCATCTGCCAGAGGGGGTCTGTAAGCAGCCTCTCCTCCCTGTCTGTTGCTTATGGTAAGGGAAGGTGGCTGTGCTATGCATACTAGCCACAGTATAATGGCAGTGTGATTTCACTGTCACTAATGGGTAGGCAGGACATGACTCTGGCATTCTCTTTTCAGTGGGTTTTTTTGGTGCATTTTGTATATACAGTGCATAATGCAATGAGGGTCTGATCCAGGCCTGGAGGTAAAGGTGTTGTTGCAATACGAATACGGATCTTAGGGACAGGGAGAAGTACATGTTCTATTCCCCTCTGTCCAGTCATTCCCCATAGCTGATGAGGCTTCATTATGATGAGGGTTGGAACTGATGAAGGTTGGAGCTGTACCTGACTTGTATTCCTTTCCCCCACCTCACATGACTCCTGAGCACCTACTTATGGTGCAGTGAAGTAGGCCCACTTCCAAAAGCAACTTCTCTTGGCACTGTTGCCACATTGCTGGTATGCCATCAGGCTACCCCAGGAAGCCCTTTTGGTTGGATTCAGATGTAGTGGGTGGGTATCCTGGCTCCAATTATGTGCTCTGGGAAGGCCAGAAACAAGACAGGCTCAGGTTCCAGTGGATAGAGCACTTGCTGAGATCCATGGGGTCTGCCTGCGCTCTGCCTCTCTGACAATCGGGGCCTAAATAAAATAACTCATGGGGAGAAAACCAGAGGCTCTAGGGTGAAAGGGCTTTGCTGTAGATTCCTTAATGCTGCTAAACCAGTGCCAGGCCAGAACAGGCCCAGCCCAAAGGCATTAACCACTTCTTACAGCCAGAATACAGAACCTGTGCCATGCTACCACTACCTTCTCAGAATCCCGATCCTAGCAGGAGCTGAGCTCCATCTGCCAGCCCCCAGGGAGTTCTTGAGGGCCCTTTGGTAGCACAGTCCCTCAGTTCTGATGGTGTCAGCTCCAGAACACAGCTGGGACCATGAGAAGGTACCATGCACTCTTGCTGCAACACCCTAGTTGCAGTCCCAGATTCATGCAGGCCTTTTCGTTTTGTTTATTTTATCATTTAATATTAAAGCATTATTTCTGTGGGAAGGAGCACATGCTTGGCAGCCATAAACTCCTGATTTCTCCCCCATCACTGCCAACAATGCTCTCAGCAGGCCCTGGGCCATGTTGCTGCTTTTTAGTCTCCCTCCATTTCCCTTCTGTACATTGGAGATGAAGCAGGGGGCAGCAAGGGTGGTAGGCTTATTGCTGCATTTCAGATTCTTCCCAGATGAAGAGCCCTGCTCAGTTTGCTGATTGTCTAAACTAAAGTTGCCTTTATTTCCTAGCTGTGCAGAAGGGTCTGTATTACCTCCACATTCAGGTACTGGCAACAGGATGCCCTTAGAGTGAAAGTGAGAGCAGTGGAGACAATGATGATGGGTGCGGAATAAGAAGTGGCTTACAATAGTGGAATAGAGTAAGTATAGGAATAGCTGGGCACTTGTCTGTCATGCACATGAGGACTTCTAGAGCCCAGCCTGGCCCAGGCTGGTCTGGATAATAATGCAGCTCAAAGGAAGGCCTGCCTCTGAACCAAAGGACTGCATGGAGGGTGTTGTGCTGAACAAGCAGTATTCACCAACAGACCAGCAGGATGCTTTGAGGAGTTTTGGAGTTCTACTCCTAGCTCTCCCCCACCTTCAAAGCCCACATCCAGCAGGGCCAAAATTCTGGTATTCAGGCTGTATCTGTACTGCAGCCAGAGAGTAGCTGTATCTCATATGTTTGCACTTAAGCCAGCACTCTGCTGGTCTGTTTAGGCCCTGCTGACTGTAGGCCTATAGCAGCCCAGAGCACAGTGCAGGCTAACCTCCTGAATTACTTACCCAGCTTCCCAGACAGGTTTGCAGCTGCTTCTGAGCCCCACATTCCCTCAACTACACTGATATCAAGCACAACACCTAACTCTGGGGTAAGGCATCCACACCTGAGGACAGGAGGGTGATCCAGGCAGATCTTGACAGGCTCATAAAATGGGTTGATGAGAACCTGATGGTGTTGAACACCAATAAATGCAAGGTTCTCCACCTTGGGAGGAAAAACCTGCAGCATGCTTATAGGCTCGGCAGTGCTACGCTGGTTTGCACTACAGATGAAAGGGACGTGGGGGTCATGATTGACCACAAGATGAACATGAGCCTTCAATGTGATGCTGCGGCTAGTAAAATGGACAAAACACTGGCTTTTATCCATAGATGCTTCTTAAGCAAATCCTGGGACGTCATTCTCCTGTTGTACTCGGCCTTGGTGAGGCCGCAGCTGGAGTACTGCATCTAGTTTTGGGCTCCACAATTCAAAAAGGTTATAGAGGAGCTTGAGAGAGTGGAGAGGAGGGCCACGCGCATGATCAGAGGTCAGGAAAACAGACCTTATGATGAGAGGCTGAGAGCCATGGGACTCTTCAGCCTGGAAAAGCGCAGGCTCGGGGTGATCTGGTGGCCACCTTTAAGTTTATCAGGGGTGCTCATCAGGATCTGGGGGAACGTCTGTTCACCAGAGCGCCCCAAGGGATGACAAGATCGAATGGTCACAAACTTCGCCGTGACCGATTCAGGCTAGACATAAGGAAGAATTTCTTTACTGTCCGAGCCCCAAGGTTTGGAATAGACTGCCGCCGGAGGCGGTTCAAGCACCCACTTTGAACACCTTCAAGACGCATTTGGATGCTTATCTTGCTGGGATCCTATGATCCCTGCTGACTTCCTGCCCCTGGGGCAGGGGGCTGGACTCGATGATCCTCCGGGGTCCCTTCTAGCCCAAAGGTCTATGAAATCAGTTAAACTGTAGGTAGCTGGCTAATTTAAAACTAGCACCAGTATCTCTATGTGAGCTGTTCTTGTACCTTGTCTGCATTGTAGACTTATCCTTAGAGGTCCTACAGTTGCCTTCTGTCAGTACTACTCAGAACCTTCCATTTAAGGATCTCAAAGTTCTTCACAAGAACATAAATCACTGCTCCTCACCCTTTCACAGCAGAAGACATGAAGTCCTGGGGAATGGAGGGAGTTTGCTCAAGGTCACGCTAGGAGCAGAAACCAGAGGTCTGAGTATTTAATCTTGCTTATGCTCCAAGAGCAGCTCCATTGAACTCAATGACATTACCTTGGTGTTTCCCCCTTATTGGAAGAGAACTCTGCTGCTGGCTTCCAACCTAGAGTGATGCCCCTGAGGTCACCCTGCTGCCCTTCTGTGGACCGAGTATATTTAAAAGGCATTCTCGCTCTCAGTGGCAGAGAGAACAGCCTTTGCGTACACCAGCTCAGGGATACAGCTTGGAACTGGGGCAGGGTTTTAACTCTCTTTAGTGGCTCCAGATTGTGACTCTTTTGCTGGCTTCCTCACACGTAACCGATTGGTCCTGAGAGCCTTCCTCTCATAAATTACTTTGCACAACGGACCCTCGCGACCGCGGCGGTATCCAAGCCTGAATTGAGCAGGGAAAGGGAGAGGGGGGGAGGAAAAAAAAAAAAGGTGTTTGAAAAGCCTGTTCACTCAGCTGCATTTTAATTTCCTTTTCAATCTTGTCCCAATTAATTTCACAGAATTAATCTCACAGAAGCAAACTCGGCAGCATCGAGGCTGCAGTTTTAGTGGTGCGGTCGCTCTGTCTGAACATGAAATAGTAGCTAATATAAAAATCCATCTGGTGTGTTTGAAACACACGCCGGCTGCTGCTCAGGCCCTGTCTGACATTTCGAGCATCAACAGCGGGGAAAAGTGATTTGGGGGTTAGTGGACATCAGTAGCTGGCAAGGATTCAGCAAACTGGCATGCTTGAGAAACAGCTGTAGGCTGGGCATTGGGCAAAGGGGCGAGGGCTGGGGAAGCAGGGCCCGCTGTGCTGTAACACTTTGCTGAGGTTTGCAGGAGGTGGTTGGGAATCTGTGCTCCCTGCCACGTACGCATGAAAAGGAAAGGGTAGCTGAGAGGTGGGGGCAGGGGACTGCAACCAAGGCAATCGGGGGTCTGCGTCTGCTCTAGTAATGGGCTGGCCTTGCACTCTCTTGCGCTTTGCACCCTGCTTTCATTTCCCAGGCTAGGAAATAGGACTATTTATACCTATTGGTTCCTTGTGGAAGTTGAGGGTTGACATCATAAAAATGCTTTGAAACCCTTGTCAGAACGCACACCAAAGGACATTTGTTGTGATTTTGTGCGTGGCTTTTTCTCTGTTCACTGCACCTTTCTGCCTGTTGTATCCCAAACT